TGGAGCCAGAGATCGTAGAAGGGGTCCTGAGACAGGAAAACAGAATGCCGTGTACTCAGGTGGTTCACAGGCAGGAGTTTAAACATCAGATTTAGAAAGGAAAACCAACTAACATGATCTTCGGATATTCTCTTTCCTAAGACAAGGCTAGAGCTAGGGCTGCTTGATTGTGTGTGTGTGTGTGTGTGCGCGCGCGTGTGTGCGCCCGCGCGTAGGGAGACAGAGAGTGTGTTTAATTATAGCAAAACATAACAAGATCAAATACTGTTCATTTCAATGATTTGTTTCCAACTGTTGTCAGAAAAAAAGTGTTTGCTATATTTGCTATAGCGTGTGTGTGCGCGTGTGTGTGTAATTGCACTTCTGAGAGCAATTAAAGTGCTTGAAAGTAGAACAGCATATGCCAATTTGTAGAGCTGCCCCTGGTGTATACCCTAAGTTTCACAGATTCCAGATAAAAGAGCTTCTTCAGAGAGAGAGGTCAGTTTTTAAAACACATAAATGATAAAATATAAAGATGCTTTTCACTGACATAAATTTAATTCCAAATTCCAGGTGTTAGCTACTCTCTTCAGTATCTTTCTAGAGAAGGTTTAAACATATGCCAGAATCTTTTCTTCCTTCAGGAGAAGCAAGCTGCTGGAATTTTAGCTGAAGTTAAAAAATGACAAAAAAAGATGTTAGATAGACAGAAAACTGTCATAACAAAGTCTAAACATTTGAAGAACAAAGTTGCAGAACTTTGTTGAAGTTTTAGTCAAAATTATAAAATGTAACTTCAACTAAACTGAAATTATAAAATATAACTTCAACTAAAATTACAAAATAAAGTTATAAAATGCAAGTCTACAATAATGATACCAATGTCATACTGATATAAGAATAGGCATAGGCATAGAGACCAATGGAACAGAATTGAGGGTCCAGACATGAACCTAAACACCCACAGTAAATTTATTTTCAACAATGATGCAAAGACCATTCAACAAATGGTGTTGGAAAACTGGATAACCAGAAGCAAAAGAATTAAGTTTAACCTCTTCCTCATTTCATACACAGAAATCAAATAAAAATAGATCTATTGGCCAGGTGTGGTAGCTCACACCTGTAATCTCAGCACTTTCGGAGGGTGAGGTGGGAGAATCTCTTGATAGATAGTGCTAAATCCTCGAAACTCTGAATTTGGCAATAAGTTCTCAGATTTAATACCAAAACCACAAGCAACTATAGAAAAATAAACAAACTGGATATCATCAAAATTAAAACCTATTGTACATCAACAGACATTATTAAGAATGTGAAAATGCAACCTGTAGAATGGGAGAAAAACATTTGCAAATCATCTATCTGATGTGGGTTTAATATTCAGAACATATAAAGATATACAGTGTAATAAATTAATAATATATAGAGAATATAATAAAGACTGATAAATGGACTTAATATTTAAATAACAATATTCAAATAATAATTAAAAGACAACCCAGCTGAAAAATGGGCAAAAGCCCTGAATAGCCATTACTCCCAGAAAATATACAAATGACCAACAAGCACATGAAAAGACGTTCAACATGATTGGTCAATAAGAAAATGCAAATCCGAAGCACAATGAGATACTACTTCATAACCAATAGAATGGTTTTAATCAAGAAAACAAAATAACCAGGTTTGCCAAGGATGTAGAGCAACAGGAAGCTTTTTGTAATACATTGCTGGTGGGAATATAAAATGGTGTAGGTACTTTGAAAAACAACTTGTCAGTGCCTCAAAATGTTAAACGTAGAATTAACCATATGACCAAGCAATTCTACTCCTAGGTATATGCTGATCTAGAACTAGAAATACCATTTGACCCAGCAGTCCCATTACTGCACATATACCCAAAGGATTATAAATCATGCTACTATAAAGACACATGCACACGTATGTTTATTGTGGCACTATTCACAATAGCAAAGACTTGGAACCAACCCAAATGTCCATCAGTGATAGACTGGATTAAGAAAACGTGGCACACATACACCATGGAATACTATGCAGCCATAAAAAAGGATGAATTCATGTCCTTTGTAGGGACATGGATGAAGCTGGAAACCATCATTCTGAGCAAACTACCACAAGAACAGAAAACCAAACGCCACATGTTCTCACTCATAGGTGGGAATTGAACAATGAGAACACCTGGACACAGGGCAGAGAACATCACACACCGGGGCCTGTTGTGGGATGGGGGTACTGGGGAGGGATAGCATTCGGAGAAATACCTAATGTAAATGATGAGTTAATGGGTACAGCAAATCAACATGGCACATGTATACTTCACGTTGTGTACATGTACCCTAGAACTTAAAGTATAATAAAGAAATATTTTAAAAAAGAAATAAAGATATATGTCCACAGAGAAAATTGTACATGAATGCTTACAGTGGCATTTCTAGTAATAGCCAAAAGGTACAAATAAACCAAATGTTCATCCACAGATCAATAGGTAAACAAACTGTGGTATGTACATACAATGAATGTTATTCAGCCATGAAAAGGAATGAAGTACTGAGACATGCTACAACTGGAATGAACCTTGAAAACACGATGTCAAGTGAAAGAAGCCAGATACAAAAGGTCACATATTGTATGATTCCTTTCATGTAATATATCAAGAATAGGAAAAGTCATAGAGGCAGAAAGCTGATTAAAGGTGTCAGGGCAATAGGAGTATGGACGGGTATAGGGAATGTCTACTTCATAATCACAGAAATCTTTACAGGGAATAAAAAAATTTTGAAACTAGAGAGCGCTGGTGGTTGCATAACCTTGTGAATACATTAAATACCACCAAATTGCACACTTTAAAATGGTTAACTGTATGTTGTGTGACTTTCACCTCAATAAAAAAAGAATAAACTACTTAGTAGCAAATGTAATAAAGTAAGTACTAGACTTGTAAATTGAAAACTACAAATTATAATTGAAAGAAAATTTTAAAAGGCCTTGATAAATGGAAAGAAGTCCTGTGTTCATGGGATGAGAAACTTAATATTGTGAAGAAGACAATACTCCACCAATTGATCTACAGATTCAGTGCACCACTATCAAAACCCCAGCTGGCTTTTTCTTTGCAGAAATTTACAAGTTAATTCTAAAATTCAGATGGAAATTCAAGGGACTGAGAAGAGCAAAAACAATTGTGAAAAAGAACGATGCTGGAGGACTCATACGTTCCAATTTGGAAATTTACTACAAAGCTACAGTAATCAAAGCATGATACTGGTATAAACTGGACATACGAACCAACAAAAAAGAACTGAGAGTCCTGAAATAAACTCATACTCTATGAGCAATGGATTTTCAATAAGGGTGACAATAGGGAAATAATAGTCTTTTGTAACAAATCTTTATGACCTGAGATTAGGCAATGCTTTTGTAGACACAACTAGCATGTTAATGATGGCACAGTTCTGGACCTCTAATTCCAAATGTGCTGCGCAGAATTTTTCTAGGCTCACCCAACGCCAAGAGACTGAGCCTATTCATGAAGTATAGTGAGAACAAGCTGGATGCAGTGGAGAGGTTATTTCACCAGATGAAAATGGTAAGCAGCATTCCACGTCTCTAGGCACACCAACTCAAACCACATACTCTTGAGATCTGACGAGCATTTCATCTCATCTTAAGGAACATTATTCTAAAGTTAGTTTTAGCCACTTTTACAGAAAAATAAAACAAATGACTCTAAATCTCTCCATATATCAAAATCAAAATTTAAGGTGTTAAATATTTCATAAAACCTTTCTAGACCAAACAGGCATTTTTTAATAATTTGTGATTTGGGTTTGGCTTCTTTATTGTTTTTAATTCTTGAAATTATCTTCACTAAATTCAAGAATTTGATGAGAAATCCTAGTATTTTTCTATATTTAAGGCAAAAACATTAAAAAACAGCAAAAGTATGAATCATTTGAATCAAAAGAACATTTGCTCCATTCTAGAATGGCACATCCCTTACTCTACATTTCTTTCTGTACATTTTTCATTGAAAGAAAATATCTGTCTGCTCGAACACTCGTGTTAAAAATACTAAGATTATACAGCCCGTATGTCTAATTCATTTTTAAATTAAAAAACAAAGGGATTTGACAGAGCAAGTCTCTAAACATTTCATAATATTTCTGTAATGAGAAAAAATAAATAACTTGATAGAGTCCTTATTTAAATGTTTAGCTAAGCCGTTAATTTGGTTTGCGGAAGGAGGTCTGGCAAGTTCTGGAGACCCATTGGTAAGTTGGTTCTTACTGCTTAGATTTCTGTACTTCTACATTTAATTCCAAAGTTAATTATATTTAATAATCATATCGTTCAATTAATTAATTAAATTATTAGATAAATTATGTAAGTAGAAATAGCTAGTTTTAAATATCAGTATTCAACAATGGTACTCATTTGTTGGATAAAAATTTTTAGCAACTTTGTTTTAATGGCTGCCTAGTACATCTTTTTTTTTTTTTCTTTTCTTTTCTCTTGAGACGGAGTCTCACTCTGTCACCCAGGTTGGAGTGCAGTGACACGATCTCAGCTACTGCAACCTCCACCTCCCAGGTTCAAGCGATTCTCCTACCTCAGCCTCCCGAGAAGCTGGGATTATAGGTGCCCACCACCACACCCAGATAATTTTTGTATCTTTAGTAGAGATGGGGTTTCACCATATTGACCAGGCTGGTCTAGAACTCCTGACCTCAGGTGATCCGCCCACCTTGGCCTCCCAAAGTGCTGGGATTAGAGGGATAAGCCACCACACCCAGCACCTAAGACATCTTTATAAACACAGTTCATCTTCATTATGGGGAAGGAAATGCAGGTTTCAGGCACTTGGTGGTCAACAGAATCTCACACAGCATTTTTATAATATACCCTGTATTAAAATACGGTCTTCATAAACAAAATAAAAATGAGGATTGCCACTTACACAGAGATGACTTCAGAGAAAGTCCAGGCAGTCCACTCACCTTGGGGTGCTATCAGAGTTCTTCCATTCTCCTGACACCAACCAACTGGCTGGACGTAAGGGCTATTAACATCACACCTGTAGAAACAGAACTCTATTTTACATTCCGTTTTACTTAATGCCAGACAAAGAATTCAAGAGTAACAGTCATTCTGGATATCAAGAGATACCACAGAAAACAGTACTTCACAGCTGGAGAGAATTAGAAGGAATTTTCAGTACTGTATTAGTAGGCTGTTACCACACTTCTCTTTCACATAAGCTTCTTGAAATTTAAAAGTATAAAATTAACAGGGGATTGCCAAGGACCTGAACTGCCAGTGACGTTCCCAAAAAAAGTGAGTGAGCATTTTAATAAACTTCTACCACTTCTTGCTGGCAGCAAGAGAAAATATTAATAGGACAGCCCAATCAGACTGCAGATGACATTTTTCCTCCCCGTCCTTTTCAAAGAACCCAGAATATTCTGCCTAAGACACATATACAACAATTCCTCTCTGCTTTGCCTCTGAGTTCAAAGGAGAAGACAGGGCCCATCAGGCACATGAAGAACCACTGCCTCAGGCACGGGCGTGGCGATTACTCAGGACATATGTGGAGAAATGCTGTAAAAATTATTTTTGCCATGACCTCTTGCATATTTCAGGTTTTTAATCAAAAAAAAAAAGAAGAAGAAAGACCCCTTTCAACTCATACCATATTATTTTAATGGCATGGTAGCATACATTTTCTCTGCTCCCCATACGCTTTCGAAGAATTCACTCCCATTTTCCCAGAATCTTTCCTTTTAAAAATGTGACAAGGTACATTTAAGGTTTTTCAGACAAAAAAAAAAAACAAAAAACAAAACGCCATACTGGAAGTTTTTAGCTTCCTCTTCACAGAAATGTTTTCCTTACAAACTAGACAAAATACAGCAAAGTGTCCTTAACTGATTATATTATTTCAGACGAGGCTTCACTGGGTAACCTCTACAGATGGAGAACTTTCTAGGTCATTCACTTTAATGCGGTCATTCACATGGAAGAGAAGGAAGTGAACAGTCAACCACCAAATTCCGGATGCTCATCACTATTACAATAGCAAGAAGAGTGACAGTGCTAGAATGAAAACAAATTCTTAACATCAAACATATGAATACACAAAAACAAAACACACATTCGTATCTCACCAGTAATCGTAACTATCATCCCAGTTGTCAAAATGCACTAGTAAGCGATCTTCAACAATATCTGCTATGGTCGCCACACACACCAAGGAAGGGTTCTTCCTGTCGACGGCCTCCAGCTTCATTCCAACCTGAAATTCTTTAGGCATTGGCCCATTCTAACACAGCACCAGCAGGGGAAGAAGCACAAAAAGAAATAGGACACCAAATAAGACTGAGCCACTGTCAAAACTTCTGTGTTTACATCAGCAAAGTCTGCAGGTGTCAGCGCTTAGCCTCTGGACAAAGCCAGCAAATGCCTGTAAATATATCTGGCAACTGTTACATAGTTTATGCTCATAACAAAGGCCCAGGAAACCAGTTTTCCTTTGTGCTTTTGTCTTTTCTTGTGCAGGGAGGTTTTCTTTCCCTTATCATCTTCATATTTCCCTCTTTGATTCTTAGAATAATTTGCATTAATTTTAAAATATGATGTTTACATAAGTATCAAATAATCTTCTCTGCTTCCCATAGCCTTCTGAAGTTTCCAAATGCCACTATTTGAAAAAGTGGTGAAGATACACTCTAATTAGCACCAAAGTATCCTTTCAATTTGATTACTCAATCCGAAAATAAGTGGCTTTTTCAATATTTAAGGAATAAATGCTTAAATAAAATTATAATTTAAAATGTGAATTTATACATATAATTTATATACATTTAATATATAATTTAAATTACAATTTAAAAATGTTAATGCTTTTTTATTATCTGTACTTTTTTAGTATAAAAATACTATGAACGATGATTTACAATAACTTAACAATTGCAAACCCACCCTTCATATATCTATAATTAGCCAGTCCTGGGAGTTAAGGAGTACACATAATATCTGGGGACAAAAAGAGGATTTTTTTCTCTACTTCTCTTTTATCAAACCCTGGTGTTTACTCTCCTTCAGCACATTCTAATTTTATAGCAATTTCACATTTTAATAGCTCCTTTTCTTGATACAAATATATGAGACATAAGTAACAATTGTATAATTCTGCTTTCCAGACCACAGAAGTGATGTCTGGAGAAATTCAGTGAGTGGCCTGCACAGTGACACCGCCTGCCGGTGGCAGAGTCAACTTCTGGGGTTGCAACTTATTCTCCTTTACGGAAGGTTCACCAGATTTCTGGGGACACAGATGGCATAAGAAGTGTGATCTACCCAGATCCTCAGAACACTCCTTCAATTAGTACAAAATGTTACTCTCGTTTTCATTACACTTAAACAAATCTAGGCTGGGTACATTCAAAGCCTACTTAGAGTATCTGCTGGTTTCAAAACACCAAAACCAAGATTAAAGGATTAACTCACTGTAAGAGAAAATATTTTTAAAAGACACTTTTAATTTTAGTAGGCTTTAAACACAAAGTTTTTAACTTTTCCCATCTACTTCAAGTAGTTATACTTTTAAAGGAAGAAAACCAAGATCTGCCCATAAGAAACTGACGAACTAGGTGAGAAAAGTCATAGGAAGTTAAGAGTTTCCATAACTTCTTAAAGGATTAAAATAAAACGGAATATATAGTGAATTTTCAGAAATTTAAGCGTGGTCAAATCTGATTTATGCTGAGAAAGAAAACACTTACAAGGCTTCTGTTTCTGAATAATTTCTTTGGAGCATTTTGCAATTTGCAGGCCTTCAGGTAATCCATCCAAACAAACTTATCTTTTCTATAACCTAAGAAAAAGCACCGATTACTCAGAATGCCCAAAAGATATAAACACATGCATAGTAAATATGAGGTTGGTGCAAAAGGAATTGCGGTTTTTGCCATTACTTTTATTTATTTAGTTATTTACTTTTTAGATTTTTAAAATTATACTTTAAGTTCTAGGGTACACGTGCACAACGTGCAGGTTTGTTACATTTGCACACGTGTGCCATGTCGGTGTGCTGCACCCATCAACTCGTCATTTACATTAGGTATATCTCCTAATGCTATCAATTACTTTTAATGGAAAAAAAACACAATTACTTTTGCACCAACCTCATATTATTATTATTAGTGTCCTGTCATAAATTCTATGTCCTTAGCACCCACAAAAGATTTAAATTAAAATCTTCAAACGGTTTCACCTTTTTAAAATATATTATGTTCAAAACTGTTGACAATGCTTCCCCATCACGCACATCATTGCCATATAATTTCATATGCTCTGATACGGAGTCAGTACTCTGGTGGCTTGATGGGAGTCTCATCGCCCATTAAGGCTTTCCTGAATGGGCAAAGGGATGAGACCACAGTTCCCGCACCTGTCCCCACTCCTGAGGAAGCAACGTCACAGAGACCATCAGAGGTCCTGATGGTGCAGCCATCCAGGATGCCAGGCACAGTTACCCCTTCTCAGTCCAAAGCCCAGTTGACAGTTCCAGCTTTCTGCGCCACATCTTTACAAGTCTCCCATTAGAAACTGCTGCATCCTCCCATTTGCACGCCCTAGTGTAGCTCTCACACAGTGCTGGCCACACAGTACAGGCTCAAAATATGGTTCTGAGCACCAGCCTTGGAACAAGAGTCAAACTCCATGAACAGCCTTCCAGGCCTGGGAACACCACCCTCTTCGTCCCCGAACTTCCCGCCTGGGCTTCTCTGCTGTCTCCCTGAGATGACTCGCCCTCGCCAAGCACACTCCTGCCCCGGGCACCTGCTCCTGTTCTTCCCTCGGATGGCTTACCCAGACACCACACTGCTTCCTCTCTCAGTTCACCCACGTCTCCTTGGGACATTACGTCGACAGAGAGGCCTTTCTCCCCCATGCTTTCTGAAAGAGTGTCCCTGCCGCCACCGCCATTATCCTTCTCCTCTGCCATGAAGCCCCACGGAGACAGATACATTGCTTTACTTGCTGTTGCCCCCAGTGCCTCACGTGGTAAGGGCTCCATAAACACCTACTGAATGAATGAGCCTGGAGCCTGTCACCAGCTTCCTTGAAACCAGCAACCTCGAGGGACTCTGCCATCAGGCTCAGGGGAGGATCCTGGGGGACACCCTGAGTGGATAACTAAGAATAAAGGACTACATGTTGACTCCAGAAGTTGCCACAGTCATCAAACAGTCTGACACCCAAGCCAGAGACCGTGTACAGAAGTTTGCTGTGCAAAGATATGAGCCCATCAGCATCATCCTTGACCACATCCCCACCTCACTAGCACACAGCAAATCGAAAAGGTTTTGGTCACATCTGCCTGGCCCAAATTCCTCTAGTATATAACAACACAATGATAGTTTTCATTCCCATCAAAAGAAAATAGTGATTTTTCTTTTTCATAGTTCCATGTTTCCCATGATTCCTAAGTTTGAGACAAATTATTTACAGTGAATCAAGTTTCCTCACCTTGCAGTATCATTGATGAGATATTTCATTTCAACCATGATTTAAATATTAGTCTGCACTCCTTATAAGGTTTAATAGACTTTATATGAAATAAAATAAAATGTTTTCATAATATTTTATTTCTACCCTCTGTACATTATCAGAATTTTTGACCTAAATAGTCATTTATGCTTTTCTTTAAACATATTTACTTCTAAAAATGGTACCATTATAGTCTTACTACTCCTTGTGGATCACAATTTCATTTTGGAAACCAATTCTCACCAGGATCTCTTGTTAGAATTTCATAAAATGTTGTTAAAATATAAGTGAAATGCCAGTTGATTCTCTTTCCAGTTGGTAAATGTATCCTGGCTTACCCTTAGGGATGTGCAATTCATGTTTGGTCTTTTCACACCATCCTACTGGATGAATGTCAGGGGAACCAGCATTGGTCCAAAAATCATAGCAACTTAAATAACCATCAAAATGAAGTCTTAGACGGTAACCACAAACCTGCAAGACAGAAAGTTTACAATCATTTGTTAAGTGCCATGTATTTGGAATAGACACAAAATTCACAAAATATTTACATATTTTGTCAGTACTATCAACATATAAGAGCCAACCCTTCTACCCAAATATTTCCATTAAAGAACAAATTTATGGATGGCCTCTGATTAAGACAAAATGGTAATGAAATTAGACCCTGTCTTATAGGTATCTAGTGCATTCTGCAAAAATAGTGACCCTTTTACCCAATCTAGGAATCTGAGGGTCAGTTTATATATTCATTAATTAACTGTTTTCTTTATTAATTCAATTCCTGTCAAATATTCCCTTCGGCAACCCTATCTTCTGCCCTCTGGCCTGGATTCATATTCCAATACAGTGTAAGCTAAAGTACAAAGCAAAACTAAAATAGGCATGGCCTTGTTTCAACTCTAACATGTGTATCCAGCATACTCAATAAAGAGAATAATAAAGCGATCTGATAAATACATCCTCTAGACATGTGGTACAACTTTAATAGCCATAATCAAGCAGTAAAGTAAATAAATGTGACTGTTACGTTCAATGCTATCAGAAATATAAAGATCTTTTATTGATTTAATAATATGTTTAGTAAGTATTACATTTTATAAGCCATTCATCAAGAGCTCTCCACTCTAAATAATTTTCATAAAGTGCATGCATTTATATAAATGTATAATGCATATGCATTAATATTATTCATACACATTTCTCATTAGTTCAGCTAAAATGTGAATAAGTACGTCTCGGTTAATAGGTGAAAGAAAACACTGGGATTCACAGATTGTTATCAACCTCAAGTGAAAATTATTTACCCGTTAAGTCAAGAGTAAATGCTAGTTGATGAAAGACTTATTAGAAAATTCATCTTCAGAGAAGGAAAAAAATTCACTAAGAAATATAGTTTCACCCATCGCTGACTAAAATAAATCCATAATGCATTGGAACTTATTCATAATAAATATCAAACAAATTTGTTATTTTCTAGAAAATTATCTTTCTGTCACTATGCAATTAGCCCAAGACAATAACACCACCTCTTACCTCCGCTACAGAAAGCACACAGAATACCGATGGATGTCGGGGATCAATGCCTTCTAATCTCATTCCAATTTGAAAACCATTTTCATGCTCGGGAAAGGACTGATCCTACAAAAGTTCACGACATGACATTAGCCACTGAGATTTGTCACAGTTTTAGATTAAAACATTTGGTGTCACCTCTAGGTGAAGTCTAAAACAACTGAACTCATAGAAACACAGAGTAGAATGGTGTCTACCAGAGGCTGAAAGTTGAGGGAATGGGGAGATGCTGGTCAAAGGGTACAAAGTAGCAGTTAGGAAGGAGGAATAAATGGTAAGTATTTAAGGTGATGGATGTGTGAGTATGCTTGATTCAATCATTCCACACTGTGTACATACAGCATAACATCACTGTCTACCCCAGGATTATATATGATTATAATTTGTCAAAAACATAAATCAAATAAGTTTTGTTTTTTTTGTTTTTTTTTGTTTTTTTTTTTTTTGAGGTGGAGTCTTGCTGGAGTGTATTGGCACAATCTTGGCTCACTGCAACCTCCACCTCCCAGGTTTAGTGATTCTCCTCCTCAGCCTCCTGAATAGCTGGGATAACAGGCACCTGCCACTGTGCCCGGCTAATTTTTGCAGTTTTAGTAGAGACAGGGTTTAACCATCTTGGCTAGACTGGTCTTGAAATCCTGACCTCGTGATCCACCCGCCTTGGCTTCCCAAAGTGCTGGGATTACAGGGGTGAGCCACCACACCCAGCCCAAATAAGAATTTTTTGAAAAAATGTACTGTATAGTTTAGAAACTCAGTGATCTGGCTAAAGATGGAAGACTGTTCTTACATGTAGTTAGCGCTCAAGGATGGTTTCATTATATTAATATGCTTTGAAATAGTACCTGCGTGAAGTTATGTGTTCTATGAACTTCCCATTTATTCCTTTTGCCCATTTTTCCTTCCTGTACCCTGGATAACATCACTTTATTATATGGATTACCTACTCTCAGTCTGTGACTTGGCTCTTCACTGTGTTTACAGTGACTTTATTGCAGATAAACTTATAATTTTAACGTAGTGATATATATCAATTATTTTCTATACATTCTACAGACCCAGCCTATGAAATCCTTCCTAACTCTGAAGCTACATAGGTATTTTCCTTTTTTTTTTTTTTTTTTTTCCTGAGACAAGGTCTCACTCTGTCACCCAGACTGGAGTGCAGGGACACGATCTCAGTTCACTGCAACCTCCACCTCCCAGGTTCAAGCAATTCTCCTGCCTCAGCCTCCCAAGTAGCTGGGATTACAAGCACACGCCACAATGGCCTGGCTATTTTTTGTATTTTTAGTAGAGACGGGGTTTCACCATGTTGGCCAGACTGGTCTTAAACTCCTGACCTCAAATGATCCACTCTCCTGAGCCTCCCAGAGCACTAGGAGTATAGGTGTGGGCCACTGCGCCTGGCCCTGGTATTTTTTAAGACTGTTGAAGTTTCTTTCTTCATATTTAAATTTGTAGTACAACTGAAATGAGTTTTCTATGGTGTCAGGGAGAGACCTACTTTTCTCACATGGAAAACAAATCATTCAAGAAAAGTGCTTTGAATAGTTCATACTTGAATTGATCGGCAAAGTCAGCTCTGTCATATCTGGTTTCTACATACTTGTATGTCTTATTTCTGATCCCTCTCTTGTGTTTCATTGACTTATTTGCCTATATCACACAATTTTATTTGTTTATAATGAGTCTTTCTATTTAGAAAGCAATCATTTCCATATTAAGGTTTTTTTTGTTTTTTGTTTTGTTTTTGAGACGGAGTCTCGCTCTGTCGCCCAGGCTGGAGTGCAGTGGCCGGATCTCAGCTCACTGCAAGCTCCGCCTCCCGGGTTCATGCCATTCTCCTGCCTCAGCCTCCCGAGTAGCTGGGACTACAGGCGCCCGCCACCTCCCCTGGCTAGTTTTTGTATTTTTTAGTAGAGACGGGGTTTCACCGTGTTAGCCAGGATGGTCTCGATCTCCTGACCTCGTGATCCGCCCGTCTCGGCCTCCCAAAGTGCTGGGATTACAGGCTTGAGCCACCGCGCCCGGCTCATATTAAGTTTTTTAAATTGAGAAACTTGTTCTCTCTCCCATTTAATCTAATCACTTCCATCTGTCAAAAATGTTTTTCGATTTTCACATAAAACTGCCACAATGCTTTGCTATATTTATTTCTAGATACCTTTAAATGTTTATTGCTATTTTTACTGTAATATTTTCACAGATTTGCTCCAATTCATCATTATTTTCTTTAAGCACACAGGTTTGAACAGATTCAGCATTATTAGTCAGTTTATTCTTAATTGCAAATAATCATATACTAATGGAAAATGGTGACTACAATCGAGATCTGTTAGATCTGTTAGATCAGATCTGTTAGATCTGTTAGATCTAGAGCTGCATGTAATCACTAATTGTATTATTATTTAATATTGCTTAACATCTAAATGCCTATTTTGGGGTTAAAATTTATTCTTTATAAAAATTATTCCAGGGGCCCTGTGCAGTGGCTCACGCCTGTAATCTCAGCACTTTGAGAGGCCAAGGCAGGCGGATCACCTGAGGTCAGGACTTCGAGACCACCCTGACCAACATGGCGAAACCCCATCTCTACTAAATATACAAGAATTAGCCTGGTGTGATGGCGTGTGCCTGTAATCCCAGCTACTCTGGAGGCTGAGGCAGGAGAATAGCTTGAACCCAAGAGACAGACGTTGCAGTGAGCCAAGATTGGGCCACTGCACTCCAGCCTGGATGACAGAGCGAGACTCCACCTAAAAAAAGAAAAAGAAAAATAAAATTATGCCACTGGGAAATTTAAAAGTTGCAACAACAAGACAGTGTAGAGAGCACATGCATAGATAGCCTCTGCCTAGATTCACTCGTTGTTATATTTCACCTGCTTTGCTTTACCATTTTTACTTACTCTATCTCTCCTATGTCTCTGTGAGCATATACATAGATAGAGAAACATATGGATATAAATTTTTTTCTGAACATTTTGAAGGCCCTTTACCCCAAAATAATTTTCCCCAAGAGTAGTGTATTTTCCCTAAGAATAGAACATTCTCTTACAAAGCCATAACTCAGTTATAAACTTCTCTAAATTTAACATTTATACAATACTTTTTCTAATCTTCCATTCATATTCCAATTTTGTCCATTTGTCCAATAATATGCTTTCCAGCATTCACCCCCACACACTGCCTGCAACGCAGGAGCCAGTCTAGGGTCGGATGTGATGAGTTGATGAGCCTCTTCAGTCTTCCTTAATCAGAAACTTTGCCCATACCGTGTCACTGTCGTGTATAGCACTGACATGCTTTTAAGAATGCAGAATTTCCCCTCCTCTGATTTGTTTCTTTTTTCTTTTTTTAGATGGAGTCTCGCTCTGTCACCCAGGCTGGAGCGCAATGGTGCCATCTGAGCTCACTGCAACCTCCGGCTCCCAGGTTCAAGCGATTCTCCTGCCTCAGCATCCCGAGTAGCTGGGATTACAGGTGTGCACCACCATGCCTGGCTAGTTTTTTTTTTTTTTTTTAAGTAGAGACAGAGTCTCACCATGTTGATCAGGCTGGTCTAGAACCCCTGTCCTCAGGTGATCCACCGGCCTCGGCCTCCCAAAGTGCTGGAATTACAGGCCCTTCCTCTGACTTTTTTACTAGAACATTCCTCATTTTGGGTCTGTCTGACGCTTTCTCAAGATTTGATTCAGGTGGTACATTTTTTGCTGGAATACTACATGGATGTGTTGTGTCCTTCTCAGGGTGTCACATCCAGGGGCACATGATATCTCTCTGTCCCTCACTGCTGATGGTAGTTTTGATCATTCAATCACAGTGTTATCCAATTTCTTCACTAGTTACATACAAAAGGCACATATACATACATTCATACATAGACATGTACACATGTATACCCATACAAACATACATATATATTGTATAAATCACAAGTTCAAACAGATATGTCTAAGTCTAATCCCTCCCCAAAAGGTTTGTTCTGCCCTCCTGCATCCATTTTGTGTTTCTCCTTGAACAAAGTCGACACATGTACTCATTTACCAAATCCTACAGGGTCTCTTACAGTTTCAGAACTGTTTTACCCATACTGTCATAATAAGAAAACCTATTTTAAAAGCTCAAGATTTCTTTGCAGTTTTCCCTCCCTCCTATGTCATCCAAGAATGGAGTATATAGTTAAAAACTGTGTTCATGAACTACTTGGGCTCCTATTCGTTCTCTCTTCAGTAAAGTTACAATATCCATTTGAAATACAATTGAGTTCAAATTTGTTCAATTTGCTTTCAGTTCTTAATGATTTTTTAAATATGTAGAACATTAACATGTTTCTAAAAGTTAAAATTAGCAAAAGTTACTCAAAAATGTTATCTCTTTCTCCCACATTCTATCTACCCCATTCCCTCACACCACCAAGTGGAGGTCACCAACTTCACTGTTTTCTGGTTTATGCGTCTGAAGCTTCTTTTTGTAAAGATAAGCAGTTATATGTAGGTTTTTCTTATTTCCCCTTCTTTCTCACACAAAAGGCAGCATACTATGCATGCTCTTTTGCACGTGGCATTTTGCATTACTAATGTCTCTTGGAAACCACTCCATGTCCATTCCCAACTGTTATGCACACTCTTTTTCACGGCTGCATTGTACTCCACTGTGTATAGGGACCACAGCTCATTCAACCTTCTTCTAGACTTGGATGCAAGCCTTTTTTTTATATAAGCATGAAATAATTTAAAAACCCATGAATTGGCTTGTAAAATATCATTAAATTTTTCTTACATTCTGAGATCATTTTAGAAGCTTCTAAGGAAAAACTTAAAAGATGACAAACCCCAAAAGGAAATGGCAAGAATGAATGATTTCTCAGGAATATTTTATTTCTACAAAAATAAATGTCATGTGTGTGTTTAACTCTCCCAGACTTCTTCTCACATCTACTATGTTTTCCAGCAGATTGTATTTAACAAGTTTTGTGTGACTACCTCCTGTTCACTGCTTTGAAATTTCTCGGTTAACTTCAAAAGTGCCATACACATATACAAATACACATGCACACAACAC